TATCAATTACAATATGTTTCCTTTCAAGTATCATTAGTTTATAGTTATATGAATTAATTTGCTTCTAACTATAGCTAGTTATTAACTGGCAGAAAACCATTTTCTCCAGATGCAGAGTGCTGAGTGGTCAGGAAGACCTGAGTTCAAATGTGACCTCAGAAACTTAGTAGCTGTGTGGCCTTGAACAGGTTACAACCTGTTTTCAGTTTTATCTGTAAAGTGGGAATAATAGCACCTATGTCCTAGGGTTATTGTGAGGATAAAATGAGATAATATTTGTAAAGCATTTTGCAATCTTTGAAGTCCTTTATAAATGTTAGTTATCTTCATCATCATTATTTTTATTACTGAATATAGAATCAAAGATTACTCACAAAGAAATATTTTGAAACTCCTTTAAAAACATCTACATAAAGCAGAAAATTGTTTCATGATTGCTAATATAACCTGATTCTAAGTAGGCAGTAGGCATCTGTGGCACATGTAAACCAAAGTAAATGAACATTCTCTCTATGCTGCATATATCAGAAATTTAAGAGACTGGAAGAATAACGATAGGAAAAATTATACCTTGTACAGACTTCTTTTAATTAAAAAAATGACAGCAATTGTCATACCATAATTTATTCTATTTATACATTTGCTGGTCTTAATCATATATTACTGCAAATTCTATTTTTCACTAAGATGCTTAGCACAGAACATTAGCACAGATAAATATATTCTGCTCTACAACAATATTAAATACATCCCCAAGAACTAAAGACAACTTCAGTTAGCAGATACATTATCTGTCAATTAACATTTTATAGATCTTGGTAAGAAATGCAAAGGGAGAAATGGAAAACAATATGTTCCTACTAAAATAATTATCAAAAAGCTTTGCAGCAAACATTGTCTTTATAGATATGATTAGGAATCTGAAATATGGAAAAGTTTCGGTTTAATCAAGGCTTTTGACATACCTGGATAAATCTAAACAATCAGAAGCAAGAGTATATGGAAATTTATTTATTTCAATGAATGAATTCATAATTGTATTAGCATGGAGATGTGCAACTTTTTCCACACAATCACCTAAAACCTTTTTTTAATTTTAGTCAAATGTGCAGAACTTGTTTTATTGTGTAGACAGCGTGAACCTTCTTTTAAAAAATAAACTATAATGATTACCAAAAAATGGCTTGAGTTCATAAATATTTAAAAAACAAGAAAATAACAGAATTGGAAGTGATGGAAAGAATGGAATGTGACAAGGTCATTAGCAAAGAAATGAATTCTATTATGTCTCTAACATTAATGGCCATTGAACAAAAGGGTTGGGCACCATCATTTAAAAATGAATCCTTTGTCGTTTGTGAGCTCCACTCTTTGCGGAGTCAGGTAGCAGGAAAAAGAGGTTGAGATTGCTAAGAAGTGATTGAAGGGAGTCAATAGAATGAAAAGAACACTTTATTACACTGGTCCTAGGTCCCATCTCTCTCAGGAATTTACTGGGTGACTGGGTATAAATCACTTTAATTTCACTTAATTCTATAATTAAGGATGTTGGACTGGACGATCTGCAAGGTTATTTCTAGTTTTAGTGTTTTCTAAGTATATGTGGTTATAAGGCTAAAATGAGCTCTATAAGGTGAGAGTGCTTTGAAAAAGTCAAAAATATATAACATACTAATATAAAGCTTGATTGGGCAATTGCTCCTGTGATTCTTCTGTGACTCCCAGTGAGGAAATTGCGTCTATATTATATATTGGAAACTGCTCTGTATACAATGAATATTTGTTTAATAATTGCATGATAGTACAAGGAAAGGTAGCATAATTTATCTATCTATTAAATGATTATTTATTGTGTCATTATGTTTAAGGCACTGTATGAAGGGGCTGTGATGAATAACATACAAATCCTTCCATCAAAGAGTTCATAATCTAGTAAAGGACCAAAGACATACATAAAAGAAACTTCAATACAAGGCAGTAAATGATGAAAGGCCTTAAATGGGGTAGAATTGAAATGATACAGAGTCCAGAAAAGACAGAAATTACTCCTTGCTGAGGTGATCAAACATTGCCTGGAGGAGGTGGTATTTGAAAGATTCTTTGAAGAATATAAATAATTTTAAAATGTAAAGAACAGGTAAGTATTCTAGAAATGTAAGATGGTGTGAACAAAAGTATAGATGTAGCAAAGGGAAGGCAAGCTTGAGGGATTGTAAATAGGGCAGTCGGGCTGGCATATAGGGTATTTGGTAGGAAGGGTCTCGTAGAAGATAATTCTGAAAATGGTAAACTATTGTCAAACTATGAGAAGCATTCAATGTCAGGCTGGGTGGCAGGGGTGCTCATATTTTATTAGTTATGTAGTGAGGAGTCATGAAAGGTTTTTAAGGTGGGATGGGAGGATTGACACAAAGTTGTCTTTTAAGGTTAATCTGGTAATTGTATGCAACATGGATTAGAGTAAGTAGAGACTAAAAATAGAAGTAGGTGACCATGTGGAGGAGGGAAACCTTAGTGTCATTGGTACTTGCCACAATTTTGTAATGCCACAATTTTCCTACCAACCAACACAGGTCTCCTCTCACTGGGATTCTCTTCAACTTTTAAGTCATTCCACTCCTTCAACACTCAACTCAAATGCCATCTTCTGCAACAGGCCTTTTTCAGTCCTCCCAAGTGCCCACCCCCACAGCAGATGCTAGAATCTGTACTTTGAAGGTTATTTTCTATCTACTCTGTCTGCATCTTATATGAATCTATGAATTTAAAAACACATTATCTCCCCCCATTATACTATGAGTTCCTTGAAGGCAAAAGCTGTTTCTAACTTTCTTTGTATCCCCAGTGATTAACCTGTCATATAGTAAGCATTTAATAAATACTTGATTAATTCTGCTAATTTACTGGTCTCCAAATTTCAGGTCACCAGCAGGGAGAAGATCACAGTGTTTCCTTCCCTCTTCTCCTCCCCTATTATATGATAACAGTCCATCAGCCTTCTGGGCAGTTAAAGAGAATTTAAATGAAATGAAAATATATAGTTATGGAGGATGGGAAGGGAGGTGGGTCCCAGAGGTTGACATGGACAGAAAGTTCATTCTCTCACATTTTATAAAGTGCTCTATACTTAAATCCTATTCTTTTAGCAGTTAAAATTCATTAGCCATCCTCTAGTTCTCCTATCATTGAAATAGTCTTAGTCTCAGTCTTAATATTCAGTTCTACTGTCATGCAATTGGCTGGCCAAAGCTGATGTTGGTAACCTTTGAGAAACTTCTCCCCTAGCCCTTCCTGGAGAACAAAGAGTCTTTTTTTTCTTCTTTTCTTTTCTTTTGTCTTTCTTTTTTTTTTGTTTTTTGGCTAGGCAATGGGGTTAAGTGACTTGCCCAGGATCACACAGCTAGTAAATGTTATGTGTCTGAGGCTGAATTTGAACTCATGTCCTCCTAAATCCAGGACCAGTGTTCTATCCATTGCGCCACCTAGCTGCCTCCTATAAAGAGTCTTAAACTCAGAAAACTGAACCTGATTATCTCAGCTTGTTTCACCTTGAATGCACTGGTGAGAAAAAATGATTATTTTCTTATTATATTAATAACCAATTTTATATGTGGGACCCAAAGATCTTTTTTTATTATTAATAGCTAATTATGAACAGGATTTATTTCCCTCTCTTTTTACTCATTCAAAGCCCAATCCTTGTGAAGAACAGGGCTGACAACAAGACATTCTCTCTCTCTCTCTCTTTTTTTTTTGATGAGGCAATCAGGGTTAAGTGACTTGCTCAGGGTCACAGAGCTAGTCAGTGTCAAGTGCCTGAGGTTGGATTTGAAGGCAGGGTCCTCCTGATTCCAAAGTCAGAGTTCTGTCCACTGCACCACCTAGCTACCTGAGACATTCTCCTCAATCTTGGGTGGGACCCCACTCAACTGAGAGAGTTTATTTATGATTAAAGGGTAAAGAGATTCCAATCTAGGTGAATTCTGGCATTTGTCAATTTAGAATAGATCCTTTTATATAGATTACTGGAGGCACAATGGGTGGAAATGACTCTTTTTGTCTAAAAGTGCTGACATTATCAAAGTCATGTACTCAGTCCCTCATTAGAAAAAGGCCCAACTCTCATTATAATATTCACTTTCTAATTAATTGTTAACCAATCAGAATTGATTTCTACTATTCAGGGCCAACCCCTTTTCTAAAGGCATTTAAACACTCAAGGAACTTCCATATGGAGTCTTTGGTTATGGAAAGAACCACTGACCTCAACTGATTATCTCCTAGCCTAATTAATAAATTGATTATTAGTTACCCAGAAACTATGTCTTGGACTTTTCATTCAGCACACTGGGCAAAGCCTTAGACTGCCTATTCTCCTTCTACTCTGTCCTCCATTCCCAAATCCCCATATGGCATCAAGCAATTATGACTCTGAACAACACACTTATCTTTTGATCCCCTTCTCTCCCTGATGGGAACACCAGGACAGTTACTCAGTAAACTGTTCACAGCCATCTCAAATGATTGCATAGACAAGGTCTTAGAATTCTGGTTCCCTTTCCTTTCTTTTTTTCTTTTTCCTTTAATAGTAATTTCATTAGAGAAGAGAATTCCCCTCTGCCAAAGCAGATCAGCATTTGTTCTGTAATTTACAATCTTAGAAAATTGCTTGGGGGCAACTGAGACGGGAGCAGACTAGCTTGGGAACAACAGAGGCAGTATTTGCCAGAGGCTGCACTTGAACTCAGGTCATTGTGACTCTGGCTCCCTAAGCTCTACACATCTCAATGCCTCTTGACTCCCAGTTTCTATTCACAATTCTGCTCTGCTTTGTGAAGACAGCTGTCAATGTTCCTTATTATCTTTTAATTTCCACAAAGGGGTGGGGTGGGGGTGGAGATAAAAGGAAAAATCTGTGATGGAAATCACCGTCACTTGGTGTAAGAAATCTACCAGCAGATGGCTGGTCTCAGGGGAGTAGGGAGAGGCCCTTTACTCACTGGGGTTGTTCGGCTGGGAGTCCATTGGAATCATCAGTTTGGCCCGAGTGGCTCTTCGGGTAGCAAGTGATCGCTCTAGTGTCGACATAGTGCTTCCAGCTTCTTCAGCATCAGGACCTAAAGAGAATCAATACATCCGCATGAGCCCTCTCACCAAGTGGCACCGCTCTTTACTTTGCCTGATCATTGTATCAAAATGTCAAGAACTCTTTCCCCTGCCTGAGATCTCTGTGGTCTCTACCTTAGCCAATAAGAATTACAGCACTGATTGAGGACCAGAAATTTTCAGCAACGTGTCCAATGTCACCAGATTGTAAGTGTCATCAGCAGGACTCAAATCTAGATCACCTATGGCAATAGAGGAAATTTCCACAGTGAGAATTCTCCCTATTGATGAAATTAGAGGTCTAGACAAAACAAAACAAACTCAAGAATTTGAAGACATCTATCACACATAGTTCCCTTCTTGCTTATGACAGATCTTCAAATACCCCATTCTTCAAGTATTTGAAGATCTGTCATAAGCAGGAGGGGTTAGACCAGCAATGCTTGGTTCTAGAGGGCAGACCCAGGAGCAATGGGTATAAAGTTGCAAAAAGGCAAATGTAGGTTTGTAGGAAAAATTCATAAATGATCAGAACTGTTCAAATGTGGGAAGGACTGCTTGAGAGGTGACGGGTTCCCCCTCATTAGAACTCTTAAAGTAGAAGCGGAAAGACTATTTGTCAAGTATTCATTTATGTCAAGGAATTCCTTAGCGAAAACCCCTTTCAGGCATGAGGAGAACTAGATGACTGATCATGGCCCTTCCCACTCTAAATTCTGACTCTGTGATACTGGAGATGGTGGCATGAACTTGCAGAGATTAAGTAATTTAAGTGATTTATCAGGTCATAGAAGTAGTAAAGGGTCAAGGTACAACTTGAACCTAGGTATTCTAAATCTAACTCCAATATTTTTTTCTACTACACCATGCTTCACTCGTACACACCTTTTCAGACTTAAATGTCAACTCCCTCTGTTATTAATACAGCATTTTAAAATAGCCAGAATGCTTAAGTTGCCATTGCCTGCCTACACATGTGAAACTAAGCCTGTGTTTATGTTAAATCAAAACATCTGGCCAAATCAATTAGTTCCAATTAAATGTTGAATCCACAAAAATAAATTAATTTGAAAACTGGTTATATTCCATCACATAATTAATGCTTGACTTAATTCAACTTTTTTTTTCTCTTTTTGTTCTTATGGAGGAGAAAAAAATACCACCAATTGCTACATGTTTTTCTCAGCAATGTCAAGAAACCGAGTTCACTGATTTTTACCCCCAATGAATTGAACAATCAGCTATTTCTTTTGATGCATAAATACAGTCTGAACCTTTCAGATGTTTAAATTTTAATACGATTTTCTTATTTACTAGTCACAATATGCCTCAATTATTGTTTATTCAGGCAATGTGAAAAGAGGTGAATTTTTCAGTAAAATTGTCAACTATTGACTCAGAAATCATATTATCAACCTTGCTTAGGTAAATATGAGTTTCTAACTGAAATATCACAATGCAATTTCTAATTAAAACTCATATTTTCAGGATATAATTTTATTCATTTATTTTGTTTCCTTTCTCCTTCCAAAGTTCCCCCAGAATTAGAAATGTCTCTATCAAGTTGCTGTCAATTGTTCACATAATATATAATGCATTTATAAGGCACATGACCAGCATATGGCAAGAACTTCTTACTCTCCATTCTTTTTTTGTGTCTTTTCTCTTCTCTTTGCCTCTGTCTCTGTCTCTTCACATTCTCCTATGGTAAACTCATTCACTGCCATGGCTTCAACTACCACCTCTATGAAGACGGCTTTCAAATTTCTATCTGTAGATCTCAAACTCAAAATAACTAAAAATCACATTTATTATCTTACCTTCTAAACCTCCTCCTCATTCTTATTACCTTTATCAAGCTTCAAGGGATGCCCCTGATTCTAATATTTTGGGAATTGATGAATAAGTTTATGTTCAAAGTATCCCATTATTTCCCGTGCTTTAATTTTCTTTCCCCACTGGTCATCTTTTCACATACTAAAGACTCATCATTCTGTAAGTTTGTCCTTCTAATGACAGTGACAAGAAATGTATCCTCAACACCTTGACCATTTTCATAGTCGTTCTTTTTATGTCTTTCTGAAATCATTTGTACAAAAACATGACAATTCAGATTTTAAAAGAGCAATTTAAATACAGTAATAGTTACTTTTTTTTTTCTTGTAAGCCGCTCTTGCTGCTCATGTTTTGTTTATTTTTTTAAATTTGGCTAATGTTTTTCTAGGGGTCATCTGTAATTGACATCTAAGTACATCCAAACTCTAAAGTGATCTATTCTTTCTTTACCTTTTCTTTCTTTCATCTTCTTCTTCTTTTTATTTATTTTTTGTAATAATGCCATCTAAGTGCCTCTTTTAACAAATCAACTGCCTGATTATATTCACTATTATCCCATTCAACTTTGTCATTTTAAGTAATCTATAGGCATATCTATACAAGGTCAAAATTGAGACATTTTAAAGTCTTGGTTAATTCAATCTTTTCTAGTTGAAAAGTTTAAAAAAGGCTAAACTGAAAGTAAGTCTCAATTTAACTCAATCAAGCTATTTAAAAACACTGAATATTGCCTAAGTGATTCTTCAGATGAACACAGTGTGAGTAGAAGTATGATGTAAGGGAAAGGCAAACAGGGCTTGGAAACCAAAGTTTTGACTTTGCTTTTTCCATCTTGTATGACCTTAGACAAGTTGATACACCTCTTTTTCTCTTCCTCTCTACCTCTTTCTCTCTATCTCCCAATCTCTCTTGATCTTTTATTCTCCCTAAAAATATACTTAATTTTTCATTTTAATTTTTCATATAATTTCATTTTAATTTTTTAATTTTTCATTTTAATTTTCATATATTTTTCATATAATTAATTTCATATAATTAATTTTTCATATAATTTCATTTTAATTTTTCAAAAAATTTACTTCACATTTTGTCAAATATTGAAGAGAAACTTTTAAAATCTTTGTGAAGATGAAGAAAATGGAGGTTTGCTCTACCAGTGTACAATTTGTATTTTTAAAATGATTAATGCCTTTTATTTATCATTTAAAATGATTAATGCCTTTTATTTATCAGTCATTTCCTGATATACTAGTCCCTTTCCATTCTATTATGAATTTTGTCTGAAACAAACAAACAAAAAACAGTAAAGTAGAATTAACTGCCCCACGTGCTACTCAATTTCCCACTTTTCAATAAAGGGAGAGAGGATGATGTATTTCCTCATTTCTTCCCTAGGATCAAAATAGGTCATTACAATTAGAGACATGGCTTTGTTTTAATTATTGTTTTCATGTGTATTACTGTCGTCACTTCATATAATCTTTTGTAGGTTATACTTATTTTATTGTATATTAGTTTGTACTAATGTTACAATATTTACCTGAATTTCTCATATTCATTGTTTCTAACAATGCAATAATATTCCATTCATAGTTAAAAATTTGTTTCCTCATTCCCAAAGTGATGGGCAACCATTTTGTTTTTTAGGTCTTTGCTAGGGTGAATATTTTGCTGTATTTTTTCCCCTTCCAATTTGAACTCTTTGGACTATGAGCTAGCACTGGGATCAAAGGGTATCTACACTACAGTTACTATTCTCATATAATTGCAAACTATTTACCAGAATGATTAGACCAATTCACAGTTTAATCAACAATTTTTAAGTGTGCCTATTTTCCCTTGAGCCTCTTCAACACTGACTTTTCTGATTTGGGGGATAGCCTTTTGCTACTTATTTATTAAAAGATGCCTCTTGGTTTTATATATTTGTTTTAATTTTCTATAGATCTTGCATATCAGACATTTATTTATCCAACATATTTTTAACCAAATAGCAGTTTTTCATCTTATCCTACCTGCATTCATTTTGTTTCTCAATATGAGAAACTTGGACTTTAGTTTTCTTTTCTGAACCTTAGTTTTCTTGGTTGTAAAATGAGACAATAATACCTGCTCTACCTACCTCTCAGGGTCATTGGGAGGAATACCTGAGATGGTTGATGTGAAAGTTCCTTTAAAATAAATTCAAGTTTTAGAGATCATACAATCTGAGTCCCAGAGGAGTTAAGTGACTTAGGGAGGCAGCATAACCTTACGATCCTATGACTTGGGTTCAAATTCTGGCTCTGATATTTACTCTATGTATGAAATTTGACATTATTTAACCTTCCTAGGTATCAGTTTCTTCTGTAAAGTGAAGGGGTTGGGTTTAATAATTGTTAAGGTTCTTTCCAGCTCTAAATTTATGGTTCTATAATGTTATGACTTGCCTTAGATCAGACAGCTCAAAAGAGCTGAATAGCTCTGCCTCAAAAGAGGCAGAATAGGTTTCTGTTTTGGGGTCAAATGGTCTTTTAACTGATGGGGGGGTGGGTACTGAAGGAGAAGGATGTCAAAGAAGAACCTTAGGTTATGAAAATGGGAGACAGGTTGAGTGGTGGTACCACTAAAAGAAACAGTGAAATCAGAAGAAGGGATGATTTTACAGCACAAGATAAGCATGATTAAGCATGCGTTGAATTTGAGATGCCAATGGATATGTGTGTGTGTTTATTACAAGCAGTGGGAGAATCTGGAGCTCAGAGGGTGGATAAGGCTGCATATCATCTGAGGAACCCATGGGAGTAAATGAGGTGGTAGCAGGAAAGACTATGGAATGCTGGTTTATAATGATATTCACTGTAATAGCATTTTTCTGCATTCTTTTAAGCATGAGGGCTCTGGGTTTACTTATTATAATTAAAATATGCAAATGATTAAAATATTTGACATATATAATACAATAGCAGCCACTCATCCCTTCATCTTACTCTGAGCCAAACAGATGTGCTTTGCCTGATCTATGGCAAGGTCAGGTGATCTTTTGATTCAGGACACTGTTTTTGCCTTGTTAATCAAATATTAGCAACTATGGTAGGCAAAGCACCATCAGAACAAACACCTGTATCTCATTATGGGAGTTAGGGCATGTCCTTACATACAAACACAAACATGCATGCACACACACACACACATGCACACACACACACACACACACACAAACCCTACTGCTTTTTTCTTCAATGTTCTTCATGTAGACACAGTCTATATATAAAATCATTCAGCAAGCATGTTGATAATGAGATTGCATGTGGGAGAAATATCATCTCCAGAGTAATCAGGGCTCAAATTGCATAGTACTCAGCATTTTCAGACCTCCAATTTCCCTTGCACGCTTTGAAACGAATGTACAAAAGTTTTGCAGCCAAATCTCAATTATCCCCATAACTGGGGACAAAAATAGCATAGACAATTCATTTTTTACAGAGAATCCCCAAACTCATTTGAGTCAACAGTTATACTGCCAGATATACTTTTATAGAAGGTGCTAAGAGTTATGATTTCTTGATCTCTATCTACCATGCCCAATATACTTGGGTAGGTTTGAAAGTATAATAAAATTGGCAAAAGACAGGCAATAGGAAAGGGAAGGGTAAATCTGAACAACCTAAAAATTAGGTTGAAAAACAATCTACTTTTGAGACATAGAGAAATGAATGCAAATTACTTACAAAGTAATCTAAAGAGGACTGTTTTTAAACAGGTAGTGAAAATCACCAGAGGATGAGAACTATGAGCTTTCGGTGAGCTCAATGGCATGATCACGTACCTGAATGGGATGTGCTCTTGCTTCCCAGCTGTGTTTCTGATTGACTGTGGCTGACTGGTGTAATATCCTGGCAACCCTGGATTGGTGAGTCCCTTCCTGCAGGGTCTGAGCCAGTTGGTTTTTCAATATTCTTCATCTCCATTTCTTCATGATGAATCCAAAGATCAGGAGGCCGTAGGTCTTTTTGGCTTCCCTTCCTTTTGCCAGCACTATGGGTGGCTCGTTTCCTAGGAAAGGAGTTGTAAAGAGAAGATCAAACCCAATATTCTGCTGCTCCCAGAACAATTAATTCAAGTCTTTCCATTAGCTGCCTCAAAGAAACAAAAGGACTCCCTGGGGTTGGCTTATGAGATCCAGGAATCAGTGAACTTGTATTTGGCTTTCTTTTCTCTTACTCCAATGTAGACAAACCATATTGTATAAGATGCCATATTAAACCTCCAGAGGCTCATCTTTTATGTAAAGGACCTCTCCTCTAGTATCACCTTCAGGCTCATCCATGAAGTGACAATAGGTTAGACAGTCACATGCCAATCCTAGGAGCTCCAGCATAAAACAGCCACTGACAAGTTCTCCTTAGAAGTTACATGGAGTAACTGCTTTGAAAGAATGATGGAAAGAAAAGGACAGGATTTGTGCCAATGGCTGGAACTCAAACAAGAAGGGATCCTGGTGTGCCAGATCCCCAACTGTATGTTCCATTTAAAAGCTTCATCTCAGAAGAGGAAAAACAAACAAACAAAAAGCACCTAGTATAGGGTTGTATGGAGAAAGTTTATACAGGAAATTGTTTATTTTAATTTCTTTGGACTGCGATCATTTACATTTTAAAAGACCTCCTTAAATATGAGCAGCATCTTTTAAAAATGGAGAATATAAATCCTTATGTATAAAATCAAAGCAAAATAGCAAAATTTGGGGAAAGGTATGATTGTCCTTGGTACCTACATCCAAAAGTTAAGGACACACTCTAAATGCATCAAGATCCTCTTAACAACGAATTATAGATATATCATTCATAAATCTATTTGTCTAAACCCTTCTTGAGCCTAAATATATTTGCAATTTTCATTTCCTTTTATGTACAGTGAATTCCTAACTTTCACCATGTAGCATATAAATAACTGTGAACTCAAAATTAAAAAGAATGTTAAAATTATTTTTACATGTAATTAGGAAAAATAAAATATTATTTGAAAAAAACTGTGTACTTTGTTCTAAAATACCTTTCAAATTTAAAAAAGTGTCTACTCATTTGAGTATTTCAGAATCTTATAAACTACTCCATATCATCCCTTCCTCTACTCATTCTGTTTTTACAAACTTTATTCTATCCCCACTTAGCATCTGCATTATACCCCTTTCCTATTCCCTCCAAGCTAGAATCATACGACTTTGCACATATTAATGAGACTATGGGGTGCTCTGGATAAAGGGTTAGACTTGGAGTCAGAAAAGCCTTCAGTTCAAATCCCGTTTTCTATGCCAGTTGTGTAACCAACTAATACAAGTCACAAAGCACTCTAAGCCTCTGTAAAATGATTCTGTGGCAGCTGGGTGGCACAGTGGCCTGGAGTCAGACTAATCTTCCTGAGTTCATATCTAGTCCTCAGACACTTACTAGCTGTATGACCCTGGGTAAGTCACTTAACCCTGTTTGCCTCAGTTTCCTCATCTGTAAAATAAGTTGGAAAAGGAAAAGGCAAACCAATCCAGTATTTCTGCCAAGAAAACACCAAATTGGGTCATGAAGAATTGGACACAACTGAAAAACAACTGAACAACAACAAAAATGATTCTGTAATAACACCTGTTATACTTACCTCATAAGACTATTATGAGAACCTAGTGAAATATTGTATATAAAGTTCTTTGTAAACCTTAAAACTCTATATAAATATTAATTATTATTATAGATCACAAGTAGATTACCCTCCATTATTTAGTCATTTTAATGGTCTATTTCTGAGCATAGCTCTTTACATATAGTATATGTTTAATAAATATTTGTCCAAGTAATTTATTGGTGCATATCTAGCATATTTATGTCTCCCATAAAGGCATTCATGGTGGCAACTGGAGCATTAAATAGAGTGTTAGACCTGGAGTCAGGAAGACCTGAGTTCAAATTCAGCCTCAGACACCATGTGATCTTGAACAAGTCACTTAACTTTAGTTTGTCTCAGCTTCCTCAACTGTAAAATAAAGATAACTATGGCACCTACCTCATAAGGTTGTTGTGAGGGTCAAATTTGATAGCATTTGTAAAAATCACTTAGCCAGGCAAACAGTAAGAATTATATAAATGCTTATTCCCTTCCTCCCTCTTTCCCCTTCACTCTTTTTTCATGAAATTTAACAATAAACACTAGGTAGGTGTACAGATATGGCTACACCATAGTTTTGTACAATGGAGGGATAATATTTTCTGTTTTGTCCTAAATACCTTTGCTGATAATTATCTATAGCTTTTGATTTCTTGGTTGCAGGGCAACACCTTGCCAATATCTTTTGGAATTTCCATAATGACTACTGGATGCTTTTCCTAGAGCTAGACATCTTTTCTCATAAAATTTGACAGTAAAGTTCATCTTCTAATTTTCTCTCTTCTCATACATGGAACCTTCTTGAAGTTCACCAATGTTAGCTTGATATTTCATTTTTAGAATTGTGTCACCTAAAAACCTAAAAATTTTTACTGTTTTTCTATCACCTCCAAAATAAACAAATTCTATAAGACCATGCTAATTTTTTACCTTAGCACTTAACCTCAAAGTCAGTACTACTCCCCTCAATCTGGCTCCCATTTACCTTTCCTGTCTTATTTCATATTACTTTCTTTTATATACTAGACTAATAGGCCGGTTGACTTCTCTTAAGTCAACAGCCCATCTTTGAACTCCAGGCATTCACACAAAATATTCATCATTCCTATAAAGCACCTTTTCCTTGTTCTAGCCATTGTGGAAAGGAATATTGAATTATGCCCCCAAAGTTATTAACTGTGCATACCCTTTGACTCAATAACAGTACTAATAGGCCTATATCCCAAAGAGATCAAAGAAAGAAGAAAAGCACTCATATGCATATAAATATTTATAATTTCTTTTTTTGTGGCAGCTAATAACCTGATGTTAATGAGATTTCTTTCAATTGGGGAGTGGCTGAACTGATTATGGTATACAAACAAAATGGGATACAGAGAGTTTAACACAGTGTCTGGCACATAGTAAATGCTTAATAAATGCTTGTTGACTGACTATTGTGCTATAGGAAATAAGGAGATGGGTTCAAAGAATCCTGGGAAAACTTGTATGAAATGATGCAAAATGAGCAAAAGTGAGAACAATTTTTACAATAAAAATATTGTAAAGATGAACAGTTTTCAAAGACTTGAGAATTCTGATCAATGCAATAACCAATCATGACTCCAAAGGACCAATGATGGAGCATGCTACCCACCAACTGATAGTGAGATAATGGACTCAGGTGTGAGTGCAGAAAAAAAATTGACAGTGACCAAGGTCGAACTTTGTTGGCAGAGAATAAGCAAAAGTTTTACAAGGATTTTCTCCTTTTTTCCTTTGTTTTTAATTGGGGAGGGGAGGTGTTAGGGATTGTTAATTGAAGAAGTAAAAAAAAAAGAATTGAATTATATTTTATTTTAGAAAATATAATGTAAGGATTCTTATCTTCTTTTGAAGCTCCTTTGTAGAACCTTCCCTGATTCTCCCAAATATTAGTCTTTAAATCCTTAATTATCTTTTTGTTATATTTATTTGTGTACATGTTGTATCTCTACTTAACTCAACCCATACTCCTGTGTAGAAAATATGCCTGGCATACTACCCTACATAGAGAAGGTTTTTAATTTTGTATGGAACTGAAGTGACAGCTTCTTATAAGAAACAATAAGCAGTATTTTATATAGACAATTTTCCTCAAAAGTAATTAGCATTTCTATTTGAATTTTCAGAAAAAGACCTTATTTAGTATGATTGCAATGTTATAATCTCACTAATTCAAATAATTTAGTGGATATCTATACAAATTAGCAAAATGATAGAATTATAGAATACTTTTAAAGAAACACATTTTATTTACTTTCAAGTGTATTTTGTTGCTAAGCCATTTTTCAGTCGTGTCCAACTATTCATGATCCAATTTGGGGTTTTCTTGGCAAAGATATTAGAGTGGTTTGCCATTTCCTTTTCTAGTTCATTTTACTACGGATGAGGAAACTGAGGCAAGTAGGGTTAAGTGACTTGACCAAGGTCACACAGCTAGTAAGTGTCTGAGGCTGCATTTGAACTCACAGAAAAGGGGTCTTCCTGACTCCAGGCGTGGCACTCTATACACTGTGCCACCTACACCCTTTCAAAAGCATACAGCATAGGAAAGACAAATTAGCTAATTTTTTTGTCAGTGCAGTTCCTTTGGAATCTTTCTAGTCTTAGAATTATAGATCATTAGAGTTGAAGGGACCTTAGAGATCATCTAATCTGACCAACTTTATATTTTTATAAATGAGGAAACTGAGGCCAGGGGAAGTTTAAAACTTAGCCAAAGATATACATCTACTTTTTTTCCTAATTATGTAACTTTGGGTCAGTCATTTCACCTCGGTATCTCCCAGCTTCCTCATCTCTGAAATGAGAGTATCAGACTAAAATGATGTAGATCTAAGGTCTTTTACAGCTCTGAAATTCTAATCCTACCATTCTAAGTGTAGACTGCATCATGAAGCTCATAACCTAAATATGCAGAGACTAATAAGAGTAGTAGGAAATATTTCCATTCTCCCCAATTGTCATTTAACTCAAGAGCCCTGAGCAAAGTAAAATTTCAAACCCACCAGCATGTTTAAACAAATAAATCATGCAAACCTCCAAGGGTTGTTGTGAGGATCAAAGGAGATAATGGGAGAAAGCTTTCTGAAGGAGCCGGAGGATGTTTTACAATTGTTCCCATTCATATACAGAGTTCATACTTCCACAGGCATGCTGTCTATTTCAGAAATGAACTAATTTTGTTTTCATCTGAATTATTCAGATTGTTCCAAAAGGTTTTGTTGTTTGAAAAAAAAATCAAATTTGAAAAGAAATTGAAAAAAAAATCCCCCTTCTTCCTCTCCTGCTTCTCCTAGAACATCTCCCTTTCTCATGCCTTTATTTTTTTTTAAATCATCACATCATAGGTCAACTCACACCCCTGCCCTCTGTCTGTA